TGTGTGTGTGTGTGTGTGTGTGTGTGTGTGTGTGTGTGTGTGTGTGTGTGTAGTGGAACGTTTTGGTGTCTTTAAAACTTTCAGTTCTGTTATTGTAAACATGTTTTCATTTTAATCCCAGGTGCTGGATTTAAGACTGATTCAGATGGTCCACAGCAGCAAACTATTTGCCTCCTGCAGGCTCTGAACTGGGTTCTTTGCTAGCTGCAGATAGTTTAAATCTGAGGACTCTGGAGAGAGAATAAATGCCAGAGCCCAGAAACAGAGAAAGGAGAACTCTGAGAAAGCAGAATGCTGATGTTCCTCTCGGCTTCTTGTGGTTGCTGTTGGTGCAGTGTAACAAGAAGTTGAAGATAACCTGAAACAAAGATTGGGCTTGCGAATGACCCTACTCATCAGGAAATAGCCAAAGAGAACTACCCCCCCCCCCATCTCCACTAACTTTCTTTCTCTCCTACCTGCTGTTGGGGTTTCGGAAGGGATTGGGGTGGAGAAAGGAGAAAGAGATATAAGAAACCAAAATAAAATAGCTTAAAAAATAGGACCAACATGTGTGCGTGCGTCTGCGTCTGTGTGTGGTGTGGTGTATATGTAAATTCCTAAATGCGTGCGCACAATCTTCTCAGTCTGTGTAATGTTACCTGTGTGTATGTTTTCCAGAGACGACAACTTGGTATTAGGTCGCTAGCTGACCTGTTCTTCCTGGGAGAGACTGTTTTTCCCACTTGGGGCATTTCTTATTTGCCTGGCCTTCATCGTGCAGCGCTGGGGCATCATGAGCTTTCTCAAGTCCTTGTTAGCTGCCTAGTGCTGTCGTCCTTGTAATCGAGAAACCTTCCTACACACGGTCACATGGAAGCAGAGGGGTCCTCGTCACTGCAGCAGTCCAGGGAAAATCAGATTACTCTCATTCAAGACACATGTTTTTTTGAGTCCTTCATCTTTTCAAGCTTTACAGACATGAGCCTATGAGGGGGAAAACAAACAAACAAACAAACAACCCTGTAGACTAAGTGTTTTCTGAGCAAATTAATGTCATAAGAATATTGCAAATGGCCTGGCTAATAAACAGTCCAAATTAAGAAATTTAATGATGTTATCACACAGTTATCCCCTTGTCCTTCTGTTTCTTGGCCAACAGAGGATAGCAGAGGAACTGAAGTATTCCTCACCTAGCTAATTGGATGTTTGTGCCCTTTAAGCATTTATTGTGGTCCACCATAGAAACATGTCAACTTCCTTTTATTTATATATGTGATATATACACACATATCACCTTTATATTTGTGATATATTTGTGTTGAACATATCAACATAAGTGATTTACATTTACATATGTGATATATATGTATACATACAACATATATGTATGTATATATATGTATACATATATATTACATATGTATGTGTAGTATATAATTACAAAACCCAAGCATGTGGATACAAAGGTATATATACATGCGTAAAATGAACATTAAGACATTCATTGAACATTCATTGAAACATGAAACAGGAGAGTCTCCGGCTAAGAAACCCAGCGGAAAGCAGGACATTTAGGTTTAAACTAGAATAAGAGGCAATGCCATTCGGTGATCAAATGTTGTTGCAGAGAAAATCTTGGAAAAGTCAAGGTATGATTACATGTGCTCTATTAAGCCAGAAAGATAGTTTGACAAAAACAGAGAGAAATAACCCCACAGGCTGGAGCCGAGAAGCATGAACTTTGTAAGCCAGTTGAGGGAGGTCTGTAATCCATTGCAAAGAGAGGCCCTATAAATGACTGTTAGAGATTTTCTGGCAAAAAGGAGGGTAATTACATATGAACATTTCCTCATTTTTCCACTTTGAAATTGGTCCAGAAAATGTAGAAGTCACACTAGAAAGACCTTTCTTTGTTCATGCCAATGGTCTTGATATTAAAACCCTTAGGACCCACCCGATGCATTGTGGGTGAGCCATCAAAATGATAAGCCTTTGTCCTCCTGCATTACCAGAAACAATTGTGGGTCTTTAGTACTCACGAAGAGCCATCTGCCATGAGACTGAATCATACAGTGACTAGACACGTGGTGTCATGTGACAGTTGTTTGGAAGAAATTAAGGAAAGAAAGACACTTAGGAGATGGTTCAGTGAGGGCTGGTGATGAATCATAACAGCAGGAAAAGAAACTGTTTTCCATCTACTTTGATAATTTAGCCAGGAAAAGAAACTTGCCTAATTTGATAATCATCTATTTGTTAACATAAACAATAGCAAGGAAAGAATGCCGAATGTGTGGACAATGACCCCTCAGCAAAGTATATAAGGGGTGTAAGCAGGGGGACTCCCACTTCCAAACCTTCTAACCTTCTTGTAAACCCACTCAGAACCTCCACCTCTGACACCATGGTCAGCTCCTGCTGTGGCTCTGTCTGCTCTGAGGAGGGCTGTGGCCAAGGCTGCTGCAGACCTACCTGTTGCCAGCCCAGCTGCTGTGTGTCCAGCTGTTGCAGACCCAGCTGTTGTCAGTCTGTGTGCTGCCAGCCCAGCTGCTGTCGCCCCAGCTGCTGCATCTCTAGTTGCTGCCGCCCCTCCTGCTGCATTTCTAGCTGCTGCAGGCCTTCTTGTTGCCGCCCCAGCTGTTGCAGGCCGAGCTGCTGTGTGTCCAGCTGCTGCAGGCCCCAGTGCTGCATCTCCAGCTGCTGCCGCCCCAGCTGTTGCAGGCCCAGCTGCTGCCGCCCTAGCTGCTGTGTGTCCAGCTGCTGCAGGCCCCAGTGCTGCATCTCCAGCTGCTACCGCCCCAGCTGTTGCCAGACCACCTGCTGCCGCCCAGCATGCTCTAGTGGTTCTTGCTGCTGAGCATAGTCACTCACAGTCTCCTGTCCTTCACCACCCACCATTCCTGATGTAGACCATGTGTGAGCCAAACCTTAAAAGGCCAATCAAAGCCTCTGTTGATAATGAGTTTGGCCTCCAAATATACTTTTACTGCTGCTGCCTGCTTAGTAACTCTTTACAACACAAAACAAGTTTGTGTCGTCTCTGGAATCTGTGAACTCTTACCTTATTCCAATAGGAATTCTGTTTACTGACGCATTTTTAAAAAATCGATACTTTCTTACCTGTTATTATATAAAAATATAAATAAACATAAAGTTTGTACTTGCAAATGTAAAGACGCCATGTTTCCTTGTTTCTCCTCCTCCAATGGTTGTCCCCACCACTGAACTTCTACTTAGCTCATCTATTAAAAAAAATGTAGCAGGTAACTTCTACTCTGCCTGCTCTGCTCCCTCTGCATTCTCTCCCCAACATAGAAAACCAGTTTCATAGACCATGCACATATAAACCCCTTCTGATGACTTTCTCTGACAAAAGAGGAGGCTTACACAGCAGGCAAAGCCTTTAGGCAGAGCACTTGAGCGGTGAGAGGGTGGGTGGGTACATGTTCTGTAAGACCTGGATTCTCACAGCTCAGGAGTTCAAGATCGCGCCATTCCAGAAACTCCCACAGACCACGACTCGTTGCAAAAGCAAGAGGTTTAATTTAACCATTGCGCAATGGGGTCACCCCTGCCGATCTGCAAAGAGTGGCGCCGGGAGACAAAGGCCTTTAGGTTTTTAAAAGAAAAATTGTGGGAAATTTGAAGTTGCAGTTTTGGCAATTTAGGATTAAATGAGGAAGCTATAAAGTAAGATAATTGGTTAGTCTTAGGTGTTCAAGCTTGGCCAGTCCTGCCAAGTGTGGATGCAGCTGCAATTGAAGGTGGGGGTGGTTATCTCATCCTTGAAGATTGTGGCTGCGGACTTTTGGCTGGAGGTCAGGAGCTACTCAGAAGAAGAATTGGAGCCGTCTATGTTGGTTGCTAAGAAACAGTATCTCGAAGACAAGGGTCTGGTCATTCTTTTTGCTGAGTGAAGGTCATTGCTTGCTCTCGCTTTTTTTCTATCTGTCCTCACAGATAGGGTCACATTTCCCCATTCTCTGGAAAGGTACTAAGAGGCTTTAGCGTAACCTGGACCTAAAACTCAAAACTATAGGCTTTAGAAGACATACAGGTTACAAAGTTAGTCTAACCCTTTCAGTTCTTTTTCCCTTCCCTTGAATGCATGTGTGTCCTCCCAATGTCCCAGAGATCTTGAACAGCTTGGCTGTTGGTTTCTCCTGGGCTGTCAAAATGGTGTAGCTCTCTCTCTCTCTTCTGGCTTCCCTTTATCCTGTCCTCTGTGACTTTTCTAATTCCCTATCACACATTCTGGGATTGGATCTCACGTGAATGACTTTTTAACTGTCAGCATTGAGTCTACTGCTGAGAAAATACCTTCCTAGACCCTCCTGCCAACCTCAACTTTGCTGCCACTCGACACATTTTCCACATAATCTGAAGATATCATGTGTTTCACTTTGGTTTCTGTTGCTGTCATCAACACCATATCCCAAATCTACTCAGGGAGGAAAGAGTTTGTTTAAGCTTACAGTTTGTAGTTCATCATAGGGGAAGTGCTGAGGCAGGAACTCAAGGCAGGAACCTAGAAACAAGCACTGAAGCAGAGAGCTCAGAATGATTCTACTCACTGACTGGCTTTGCTGTCTTATACAATATTGAACCACCCTCCCAGGTGGCGCGCTACCCAGAGAGGGCTAAACATTTCCTCACAACTCATTAATCAAGAAAATGCCTCATAGACATGTCTGTGAGCCAATCTGGTTAGTGATGGGGAAGACATATCAATGGCTATTGGTTTAGAGAATATCTGTACCTAAAACCAGTGACATCTCTTTAGAGGGTGCCATATATTTTTATTTAAATTATGTGCACATGCATATGCACATCCATAGGTTTGGGAACATGTGAAGGTAGGTCCCTGATGATTCATTGAGAAGAGTCAGATACCCTGGAACCAGAAATACAAATACATTTGAGACGCCATCAGTGATTTTGCGAACAAACTAAGGGTTTGCAAGCCAAGTCTAAAGGCCCAGTTCAGCTATGGATCCAGAAGACAGTGATATCATATTATCCGACTATCTGTTCCTGTATGCATAGTATCCCATGGCCCTGTTTTCAGTGATCCAAATCTTTTGCTGTAAACCAGATTTGTTTACACCAGTTGTAAACATTTAGGATTCCATAGTGATGGCCCAAAGACACTGAAAGCCACCACAAAAAAAGATACAAACTGAGAACTATAACCTGAGAAGTCATACTTATAGCCAGACCAAATGTCAACTCATAAACTCATAGTTAATGTCCTGAAGAGATGGTACCTTACTAGGAGTTCCCTATTAGTCTCTATATTCCAGTGAATATCTTACACAAAGAATGCCATGGCTTTTCTACACTGGACAATTCAAAATAATATCCATGGAGCAACCCATAACAATCACTGTAAGGTCAACCAGCCATCTGCTGGAGTAAATCTGACCAGAACTAAATCATCAGTGTAACATCAAATAAAGTATGCTGTAGGTGTTTAGAGGTTAGAATCCCATCTAAATACATTGTGAAGGAAGGGAAATGGAACACAGTCCCAGTCAGGACAGTAAGTTTATACTTTTAAAGGCTCGGAACACTCTGGATACCCCTCTGCTTCTCCATCTTAAAGGATTTTAAAGGTGCGGTTGCTATGACCATTGTTCTACGTCTAACCTCATAACTGAGATTTAGCTGTGGGCATCACCGTGGCCTGTCACTGTCCATTTGTTTTGATTGAGATGACCTCTATTTTTAAATTGTCCCACACGGATTCTGTTTCTCTAAACTATCACATCTGCAGAAAGCGAAGTTGTGTGCCAACTACATTAAGAGCAGCCATCCAGGACCGGGGCAAGTTCTAGTGGTAATTGTGTTCTCATGCCCATGACCTTTTTTTGCAGTAATACTCTCAGTAACCAACTGGTCCATTATGACTGAGCCATAAGGCTAATGAAACTTGATACTACTGGATCAGTGGATATTATTACAAACAAGTACGAATATGACTACCTGAAAGTCTGCGAGACGTGCCTCAAAAATGAATCTTAAACATAGGGTGTGAGCACTTAGAACACCGGGTGGCAACTCCCTTGAAAGCAAATAACAGCAGAAAGCGCTTTGGATTGGCTTCTCCAGGAAGTCACATATAACCTTAACACATTTGGAAAAGGACAACATGTTTTCTATTCACATTGAATTGTTGTTACTCGGGACAAGATGTTTGCCTGATCTGATCACTTATTTACTAGCAACCATGAAACAAGAATGTTGCACATGAGGACAACAGAGAGTAGGGTATAAAAGCAGACCCAGAGAGGGACACTTTCAACCCTCCAACCCACCATCTTGGAAAACCAGAGAGGCCCGATAACCTCTGACATGGTGGTCAGCTGTTCCTGTGGCCCATGCTGCTGCTAGCCATGCTGCTGCCAGACCACCTGTTATAAGGCCACCTGCTGCTGACCCAGCTGTTGTGGGTCCAGCTGCTGCCAGACCACCTGCTGCAGGACCGCCTGCTGCTGCCCAACATGCTCTACTAGTTCAAGCTGCTGAGCATTCTCAACCAATCTTCTCCCCTAAATCAACCAATAATCTTGATGAAAATGGTTTGTTCACCAAAACCCAAATAAATCAATTCCAAATGATACCGTTTTAGATCACCAAATCTGGTGTCCTCACAATTGCTTGACAGTGGCTTCTCTGCAACCTGTGAAATCTCTCACCTTATGCCCATGTAACAATTTACACACTTTCGAATATTTTCAAAATGAAGATTTTCCCCATACCTTAAATAAAATTGAATCTTGCAAAAATACACAATAAAAGCTTTGTGTCTCATCATTTTGCCTTCATTGCACACATCTCTAAACATATTTAGTTCATCTCTGAAAAATGGGTTAGATTGCAGCAGCTAAATCCTGAAATACAGCTCTGATGGTTTGAATGAGAAAGGCCTCCATGGAGCCACATTGGGAAAACATAGTCTCCAGTTGGAATTTTTCCGGGGAAGGAGTAGGAGGTGTGGTCTTGTAGGAGAGAGTGTGTCACTGTGGGCAGGCCTGGAGGATACACAACCCAGATGTCACTCTCAGTTAGCAATTCCTTTGTGTTGTGTGTGTGCTCTCAGCTGCTGCTCAAGAGCAAAGCCTGACTGCCTCCCGCCATGCACTCTCGACATGATGTCCATGCACCCCAACGCACTGAGAAGGTAAGCTTCAAACATACTTTGTTTTCTATAAATCGCCTTGGTTGGGTGGTGTCTTATCATAGCAACAGAAAAACACATAAGACATGAGATGATTCTTCTGTGCTTTTTTTTTCCTAGTAAAAATTGACTTCAGGTTCATGCACATAAAACCATTTCTTCATAATGTTTTATGACAGTAGGGGAAATTTTTTTATAGGAAAGTTGACACTATTGAAACATAGAGCTCAAACAGAGAGCGAGAGACAGACAGACACAGAAAGACATCACAAACACACACACAGAGTGAGAGAGAGAGAGAGGGAGAAAGAGAGAGAGAAAGTGAGAGAGAACACAGGCTCATCTTCTGTATCAGAAGCTGTGAGTGGCTTGAACCATGGCTGCCCTCAGCTGTCCTATTCTGTGTTTCATTATCTCCCTTTGGTTAATCATCTATCCCTTGATATTTTTATGTCAGACATCAGTATCGTATTCCCTTCTTCAGGCTCAGAAACCATCATTCTATGTTCTACATCTCAGTATTCATGTCAGTCAACACATTTTTCATAACATGTTATAGTTGCCATGGTCCATTGCCAATTTTGAATGCACTGCCTGTTTCTTCTATTTGTGCACAGTGTCGCTTCAGCTTCTTGTCTTCAATGCTTTGTGTTTTTAGCTTTGAAGTAATGGTGACA